GCGCACACACAGAGACACAAGGAACCGTCGATTCCCAGGAAAAAAGGCATGAACATTTGAGAAGTGGGGGGAAGACGACACTCCACGAAACACTGGGAGATGTGGGGAACCCTGGGATTTGTGTCTGTTTGTATTCGTGTGTCCCTGGGCCCTTTCAGCAGGGGGTGTCAGGGAGACGGGGGGGCCGGTGCGAGGTCCGCCGCGTGCAGATGGCTTTGGCCCGGCCGCCGGGGCGCTTGCCTGGACACGTGGTCGCCTCCGGCGCCGGGGAGGCGCCGGGAAAAGCAGCTCCGCGAGCTGATCCGCTACCGTCGGCCCAGATTAGTAGGTCGACCCTGCCAGATCAAGGGTGCCTTCGTGTCCTGTGCCTCGCGACCCATGCTTCCTTCATTCCTGCGGCACTGTGGCCCTCGGAAGGGTCTTGAGTCCTCTCGCGTGCCCTCTCCAATCAAGCCCAATTTCAGGAGGGAAAGAAACACACAGACACAATTAATCGTCGACTCCCAGGAAAATATGGGAAAATATGGGAATTGGGGGGAAGACAAAAACATAGAAAATATGGGAAAATATGGGGAACCATTTTATTTGTGTGCATTTATTTGTGTGTCCTTGGGCCCCTTGACAAGTGTACCCCCCCTCACCACCCCCCCTCCTCCTCCGAGGGCCGAGGCTCGGCCTTGAACGAGGGCGGGCGAGGCGGCGCAGGAGCCTCCGGAGGAGGGCCTCCAGCGGCCTCCGGCGGTAGCAGCGAACTTGTCGATGGATTACGCCTTTTCGCCCTCGCGGCTCCTAAGGAGCTCGACGAGCCCTGCAGAGAGGCAGGACCGATGTTCCCGGGGGCCTTCTGCGGGCCACGTTCTGGCTCAAGAAGCCGCCTCGGCAGGTGTCCATGTGCACGTGTGCTTCGCCTCCATCCCTCCCGTCCGCTTCCCTTCAGCTTCCCTTCCCCTTCCTCCCCCGGGGTGCGGATATGCAAGGAGGGAAAGTGTGGAGCGAGGGGGGAGAAACGAAGAGCATGGGGAGGGGAACGGGTGGACAACGGGGCCTCTGTGCCGTCCTGAGGCCATCTTGGGCGGTCTTGGGCCCTCTGGTACAGTCTTGGCGCCTTCTTGGGCCGTCTGGGAGGCTTCTTGAGGCCCTCTTGGAACCAGATTGCATCCCCGACAGGAGCGCGCCATTTTCTTGTAATGGATGTGGTGTGGCGCCTGGGGGATTCATGGGGCGTGCTTGACAATACAGAAGGAATGATCGAAGATGCTGGAAACGCCTGTGTCGTGAAATGTCGAGCGATAGTGCGACCAAGTCTTGTTTGCTTTGAGTTTGCCGATGGCAACATGTGATTTCTGGACGAGTATTCCTACCGCTTCGCGGTGAGCATGTCCGGAACGCGTGAATTCTGGGCGTTGTGACCGCATGTTATGGCAGGACGAGGAGGCAGGAGGATGAGGTGGTCTCTTGGAGGCCTCCTGAAGGGGGCCTCGTGCAGCCCTCGGGGGACCGTGGGAGCCTTCGAGGCTTCCCGAGATGGCGAACTTGAGAGGAGAGAGGAGTCGGCGCGCTCCGTCTCCAAGTGAGGCGGCACTGGCTTTCTGTTTCCAGGGCCACTTTTACCCAGGGCTGGGCCTAAACGGTGCTTTGGCGATTTCGTGGGCCGTCTTCGTGTCGACATCGTTTTTCGGTAGAGGCGGATTGAAGACAAAACGAGGGGAAACGAACACATAACGAAGACGAAAAACACCGTTTAGGTTCAGCCCTGCTTTTATCAGGAGGGGAAAACACAGACACAATTAATCGCCGATTCCCAGGAACATGTGGAAACATATGGGAAATGGGGGGAAGACAAAACCCAGAACGCATGCGAAATTACCCCAGTGCGACCCTACCTAGAAGTTGGAGCCCCTAGGAAAGCAGCATTTGTTGCTATGCTATGCTATGCTGTGCTATGCTATGCCATGCTATGCTTCGCTATGCTATGCTATGCTATGCTGTGCTATGCTATGCTATGCTGCGCTATGCTATGCTATGCTATGCTGCGCTGTGCTATGCTGTGCTGTGCTGTGCTGTGCTGCGCTATGCTATACTATGCTGGGTCATGCTATGATATGCTGTGCTGCGCTATGCTATGCTACGCTATGCTATGCTATGCTGTGCTCTGCTATGCTAAAGCTCAGCGAAGCTGAGATGAAGGTAAGTTAGGCTAAGATACACCTGAGCTAAGATAACGCTAAGCTAGCTAAGACGAAATAAACTGAGCTACGATGAGATCAGCAACGCTAAGCTAAGGGGGCGTAACTGGGGGAACCGCGGGGCGGATGCCGGGGGAACCGCCCGGGGCGGGGTCCACTGCCTGGCCCCTTTAAAGTATAGGGTAAGAACCCTTCTAGGCCGAGCCTAGGTAGGGAAATATGGAGAATCCCGTTATTTGTGTGTATGTTTATTTGTGTGTCCCAGGGCCCCTTCATTTTACCCCGCTCCGAGGATGTGGCGCCCGCGCTCCAGATCCGCGGAGCTGGCATCCGGAGGGAGAGGAGATGCTGCCACTCCGCAACAGCTCGGGGGTACGGCAGGCCCGCGTCGTGCCGACCGGCGGCGACCCCGCCTTCGGCTGCAGCTCTTGGGAGGTCAAATTCTGGTTTTGCCGTGGTCCGAAGTCTGGCTTAATTCAGGAGGGAAAGAAACACACAGACACAATTAATCGTCGATCCCCAGGAAAATATGGGAAAATATAGGAAGTGGGGGGGAAGACAGAAACCCAGAAAATATGGGAAAATATGGGGAATCGTTTTATTTGCGTGCATTTATTTGTGTGTCCCAGGGCCCCTTTATTAATCCGGCTCAATCCCGCTTAGTCTGGCTCAATCCCGCTTCATCCCGCTTAAGCCGGCTTGATCCTGCGTAGTCCGAGACCCACTCCGGCGTAGCAGCTCTCAAAATGGGGCTTAATCCTCCTGAATCTTTCCGACGAAAACCTCCCAGTAGTTGCCTCTTAACCCACCGCGTGCGTTGAAGGCTGAGCGCCGCTCTAGGTCCAGAATCGGCCTGTCGTTGAACGGTCCGGGGTTCACGGAGCGTCCGGTCGTTCAAGTTTGAATCATCCCCGGGGTCGGCACGACGCGATTTTGCCGTATTCAGACCAGATTGTGGTCGGAAGTGCTGTTGCGCTCAGGTCTCGCCGGGTGTGTTGCCAACCTGGCTGCCGAGAGGCGGTGGTCGTGCGATCCTGGATGCTGAACTGTCTCTTGCTGGGAGCTGGTGTCGAGAGGGACCGCGCAAACATTAGGAATGAACTTTGAGATTGTTCTTATATCGCCCCCCAGTAACGTTTGGCACGGGGGGTCCGCCACCCACCCGTAGCGGCAACGATCGTACGACGGGCGGTGGCGCGAACCCCGCCCCCCCGTGCTCGCGGCTGTCACGGTGTACACATCGGAGGTGTACACGGTCGCCGTTGTGCACGCAGGCGCTGTGGTGTACACGGGCGCCGTGTTGCACGCGGCTGTTATGGTGTACGCAGGCGTTGTGGTGCGCGCAATCACCCCCGCCTTGGTGACATTAGAAGATCATGCTCCTCCTTCCCCCCATCTTTCTCTCCTCACAGACCCCGGTTGTGCTCGCGGGCTAGTGTTGTGCTTGCATGCCGCGGTGCTCTCAGGCTATTCTTTTGTTCACACTGTCGTAGCCATTTTGGCTCAAGTCGTTTTGGCGAAGCCTGCAGGAGGCTTCCCTGTCTTTTTCGTTGCTTCTGTTGCTGCCCCGCCCGTGCGCGTCCGACGCACATCATGGCGCTCTCCGCAGCGTGGTGGCTCGTGCGCACGCTGCTCCTCGGGTGGCCGGGGGCTGCCGCGGGTGCCGAGAGGGCGGCGCGCTCCGCGCCGCGGCCTCCCGTCGCCGGGCGCAGCTTGCTGCAGACCTCTCAGGCAGTTGCCAGGGCGGGGCACGGACGGGCCTCGGCATGGGTGGCTGGCCCCTTCCGCGACTGCGTGACGCAGTGCGACGGCCTCTCGTTCCGGAACCGCACGGTCAGCTGCCGCTCCCTGAGCGGCGACCTCCTGGACGAGGACGCGTGCGCCGGGAAGGCTCGGCCGTGCGCGTTCCAGCCCTGCGAGTGCGGAGTGTGCGTCCAGGCTCGGTGCGGCGCAGGGTCCCAGCCTCTGCAGAGCGAGGAGCTGGCGTGCGGCGCGGAGATTCCTGACATCACCTTCGAGCGCGTTGGTTGCTTCGCCGACTCTGGGGGCGGCTCCGCCGAGGCGACCACCGCCCTGGACACCGAGTGCGTGGGGTGGAACGGCACCGTCCCCTGCCACGGCGGCCTGCCCTTCTTCCGCATGCGCTCGAATGCGCTCACGCCGGCGGTGTGCTTCGACTTCTGCCTGACCAGGGGCCTCGACCTCTTCGGCCTCGCGCGTGGGGAGGAGTGCCGCTGCGGCGCCTCCGCCCTGAACGCGCAGCTGTGGGGCGGCGCCGGGCCGCGCGCGGGCCTCGCGCTTCCGGAGTGCCCGCTGGCATCCGGCGCCGCGTGCCCCCTGAGCGCTTACCGCTTCGCGGGCCCCTTCGTGTCCGGCGGCGTGCCTGTGCAGCTGCTGGCGGCCAACCTGGCAGAGGATAGGGGAACGAACAATGACAGGCACATACAAAACTCAGAGGTCCGCGCCGATTTCTCGGACCCCCCTCCCTGGCGCGCGGAGCGCGCCAGGGGCGGCGCAGGAGGCGCCGCCAGGGGAGTCCAGCGAGGATCCGAGAAATCCAGGCGGACCTCCGAGTTTTTATGTTTACGTTATTGTTCGTTCCCCTAGAGGAGGCGTACATTGACTCCATCGTGGCAGGCCGGACGGTCGATCCCGAGGCCGAGGAGCACCGCGCAGGGGCGCCTGCAGCGGTGCCGCCGCCACCGGCCAGCCTGCTGCAGGTCGGGGCGCCGGGCTACGAGAGGCCCTGTGGCAGCGCCTCCGGGTGCCTGCCCGCGAGGCCGTGGAACGAGCGGCAGGCCGCGGCGCCGGCAGGCATGCCGGACGTGTGGAGCGACTACGTGGTCGTGCGCTACACCTTCGACCCCGAGCAGCAGGCGTCACCGAGCGCGTCCCGCTTTCTCGCAGAGTGCCCACTCGCAGACGTCCGAAGAAGACATGTCTGTATCGACGTAATGTGTCGTAGATCCCCCAGGGCGGATCCAGGCCACTTGCGAGTAGTTCTCTGCGAGCAGTGGAACGCGCTCGTCCAAGGTGGACGACGTGAGGAAGGAGGCTTTCAGGTCCGCGGCGGCGCACTGGCGCGATCGCACGTGCATCGCCGTCGTGGAGGCGAGCAGCCCCGAGACCCCGTACATCAAGGTTGGCGTGTACGACACGGGGAGCTGCTACGCCTCCCTTGGGCGGCCTTTCTCGTCGGGCTCGATCAACCTTGGCTGGTGCAACTCCATGCGCCAGAGGGGGAACATGATCCACGAGCTCGGCCACTCCCTGGGCATGAACCACGAGCAGAAGCGCCCGGACGCTGGAGAGAGCTATTACGGACAGGGGCCTTACCTCAGGATCTTCTGGGAGAACCTTGGGAGCTGGGCCTCCCAGTACACGCCCGTGGAGAGCAGCTACACGGGCTCCGCAGACGATGGAGCGGGCGACCCGCAGGTAGGCTACGCCGCCTACGACTACGGCAGCATCATGCACTACGGCTACAACCCGCAGAACTTCGAGCCGACCACCGAAGAGGGCCGCGTCGCGAACATCGGCCAGAGGGCTGCTCTGTCCGATGGAGATATCCTGCAGATGCTGGATGCGTATCGGTGCAGGAGGAAGTCTGGCAGTGGCCCGTCGCCCACGCCTGCGCCTACCGCGCCAGCGCCCGCGCCCACTGCCGCCCCGTCCCCGGCACAAGGGTCCTGCCCAGAGACCTGTTACAGCCGGACCTGCAACTTCTGGGTCCAGCAGGGGTACAGCTGTGATGCCTTGGCAAGCACGTATCGTTGCAATTGCAGTGGGTGTTCTTCGTGCGCGTCATCGCCAACACCCACGCCAGCTCCCACGCCAGCCCCGACGCCAGTGCCGACGCGTGCGCCCACGGCAGCCCCCGCGCCAGCGCCCACGCCTGCACCCACGGCAGCACCTGCACCAGCTCCTACACCAGCGCCCACGCCTGCACCCACGCAATCACCCACAATGGGTCCTACTCCTGCGCCCACGCAGGCACCAACGTCTGTACCTACTTCGGGGTCGGGCTTTTGCCCGGAGACATGCTACAGCTACAGCTGCAACTTTTGGGTTCAGCAGGGGTACAGCTGTGATGCCTTGACCAACACATACAGGTGCGACTGCGGTGGATGCTCTTTGTGCGCGTCACCGCCAGCACCCACGCCAGCTTCCACGCCAGCCCCGACGCCAGTACCGACGCGTGCGCCCACGGCAGCTCCCGCGCCAGCGCCCACGCAGGCACCCACATATGCCCCAACGTCCGCGCCGACTCAGGTGTCGGGCTCATGCCTAGATACCTGCTACAACAACAACTGTAACTTCTGGGTGCAGCAAGGGTACACCTGCAGTGCCCTGACCAGTACCTACGGCTGCGATTGTGGTGGATGCTCTTCATGTGCGTCAGTGTCGACGCCAGCACCGGCATCATCTGGTTGACCCAAAACTGGGTCCAGCGAAAAGGGGGTGGTGTAATATATTTGGTGCAATGGGTTTGTGGGATTGCAATCGAGTTGGGGTGTGCAATACATTCCGGGGGGCAGATGTATTGCTAGATTTTCGCGCGCAATGCATTCGTCGCAATACAATGTAATACAACTCTTGGGCGCAATCCATCTGCAATACAATTGCCCAAAATCTATTGCACCACCCCCTTTCAGCTGGACCCTCTTGTGGGTCGACCAAACATCAACGGGCAGCTGCCCAGAGACGTGCTACAGCTACAACTGCGACTTCTGGGTCCAGAATGGCTATTCTTGTAGCACGCTCAGCAGCACCTACGGCTGTGACTGCAGCGGGTGCTCGTGCTCATGAATGCTCCGCACGCGGTGAAGTAGGAGAACGAATGCGCCACAGGCGCTGATTTCTGCAGCAACATCTACGTTTGGACAGGTATATTTTCCGTCTGCTTGCACCAGACAAGCAGTCGCCGACCACAGGTACTACAGGGGTACTTCGTTTACAATGCGTAGGAGCTGCACCGCCCTGGCTTCTTCAGCGCTGCAGTTTAGTCTCTCGGCGCGGCGCATCACATTTCGACGCCATTTCAGGTTGACCTGGTCTCGTCGGGGCGTTCGGGGTATTCCCGACATGCTCGGCTCGCACAGGCTGTCCTCTCATTCGGTAGCTCTGGAGTGTCAAACGATACACGAAACAAAAACAAAGAGGTGAAACAGCGGCGAATGCAACTGAGCGGGGAGGAAGCAGGTACCTGACAACAGTTTGCATTCTTTCACGCCTCGACGTGCCAGGGGACACGGTGGCGGCATCCTGGCCTCCTGCTGCTGCTCCTCCTGCTTCTCCTGCGTCCATTCCTTATGCTGACGCCGTCCCGCGCGCCCCCGGGCCGCGTAGTGCTCACGGGCGCTGTGGTGCATGCAGATGATGCCGCAGCAACTGCAGCGGTCCCAAACACTGTGGTGTTCGCAGGCAGGGAGGTGCACAGAGGCAGCGCGGTGTACACAGGCAGTGTCGGCCAAAAACCCGGGGCCCGCGCCCCGGGCCACACAAGTCAATATTCGCGAACACTTGACATATCCGTCTTCTGATACGTTTGGGCCCCCGGCTGTGGCATGGTGTACTGGTGCGCTCTGATGCACGCGGCCGCTGTGACTGCTGCGGACGCGGCGCTCTGGTTCACGCAGGCGTTGCTTGCGGGCCACACAGTCGCTGTGGTGCACGCGCACCGCTACAACGGCACATACGGCAACGGCTCTGTGATGCAGACGGCTGTTGTGGCGTGCGCGTGCCATGTGGTGTACACAGGCGCAGTGGTGCACGCGGGCCCTGCGACGCATGCACTCAGGCACTCCATTCTGGTGCACGCAGGAGCTGTGGAGCACGCGGTCGCTGTGGTGTAGATCGGCGCTGTGTTGTACACGGCTGCTGTGGTATACAGGCGCTGTTCTGCACAAAGGCACTGCGGTGTATACAGGCGCTGTGGTGTACATGGCTACTCTGGTGTACGCGGTCGCTGCGGTGTACACGGGCGCTACGGTGTACACGGGCGCCAGCGGGGACTTCCTCGACCACCTACGCTGGTGCTGCGGCGAGCCAGGGGAGCCCTTCAAGGCCAGCCCTTGTACTGCGACGGAGCGCTGTTCGACGCAGAGCTGAGTGCGGGCCTTGGCGCGCAGGCAGCCGCGGCGGTCATCGAGCTCCTGCCCGTCGCGGAGCACGTCGACCCATGTGTCGGCAGCAGGGTCAAGGCGGTAGGCACCCCGCTCGTCGGCCCCTGGCAGAGCATTGGCGGCGCGGAGTTGTTGCCGGTGCTCATCGTGCTGCGACGTGCCATCCCGCCCAGCCTCCTCTGCTGCGGCGCCAGCCGCGTGGTCGACGGGATCAACCTGCGCGGCGAGGCCCGCACGGCCCTGGCCAACGCGGCGTGGGGGCACCTCTGGCGCAAGGTCCGGCAGGCCCTCCCTAGACGACTTTGGCGGCGTCGGGGAGGCAGGCCTCAGCGTCCAGAAGGTAAAGGGGGCACGCGGCCATGCGGCACCACGTAGGCAGCGGCCTCGCCACGCGTAAGCAGCGCCGTTGCCATTTCGAGGCGGACCTGGTGGCCAACGGCAGCGTCGAACACTTCGGGCTGCCCCCGGACGTCCGCACGAGGCTCCCGAGGGCCAGGCTGGACGGGGCCGTGCACTGGGCGGCCACGGCGGGCTCGCCGGCGGCCGCGGCGCGGGCCGACGGCGCCCAGGACACGGTGGTCCAGGGTGGCGTCCAGCATCCAGCTCACGCTGGGAGGCGGGCACTGGCACTACACCGTGTGCCTCCGCACGGCGCGCACGGATAGGACCAAGCAGGTGCCCCCCCCCAAAAAAGCCTCGCCGAGGCGAAGTCGCCCGCCCCCCGCCTCTGCGCAGCGTGCTGCAGTGTGCGGGCGGCGCCAGCTCTGGCGGCTCGGAGCAGGCGCAGGCGCACGGGGAGCACGCCCTGATTCTCCCGCCTCCCGCGATGCAGACGCCGTTATGCATCGCCAGCGCTATTGTGGCGCCACTGTTGGGTAGCTGTCTTTGGAGGCCGCCCCAGCAACAACAACAATAGCAAACAAAAAATCAACCGCTTTGATGCACGCAGGCGCTGCGGTGTGCACCGGCGCCTCGTTGCTCGCGGCTGCTGTGGTGCACGCGGGCGCTGCGGTGTACACAGGCGTTGCGGTGCACGCAGGCACTGCGGCGTGCACAGGCGCTGTGTTGCACGCGGCTGCTGCGGTGTACGCAGGCGTTGCGGTGTGCGCAATCGCCGTGCACAGGCGTTGCGGTGCACGCATTCCCCCCCTTCCTCCCCCACCCCAATCGTCGTTGCCCCCTTGCCCCCCCTTGCAAAGGGCGCTGCACGCCCACATAAAACAACGTTCTCCTTACAAGATTTATGCAAAGCGTTTGGGGCCGGCGACTGGCGAATAGCATTCCAGGACGTTCGCGCTCTCCAAATTCAATCATCGCATGGCTTCCCCTTTTCCCCTTATCGGAGCTTGCACTGGCGGGGTCCTAGCGGAGATCCCCCAATCACTGCTTGCCCTGAAGGGGTCTTTGCGGAGATTGATGGATTTGGTGAAAGTGCTGGGCTGATTTCGGTAGGCGGCCAAGTTCCCAGGTTCTTGGTTCGGGTTCCTTGGTTCCCTGTTTTGGGTTCGGGGCCGATTCCGGGGGCGGCGGGGTTCCCAGGTTCTGGGCTTCCTGGACGATCTTCTTATCGTTCGGTGTTCACCATCTTTCTCATTACTCGCCTTTCTATCGCTTTCACGAGCGATTTCACAACCAATCGCACTATCGATCTCGCAATCGATATCACGATCGATATCTCGATATCACAATCGATTAGATCGCACGAGCGATTTCTTCACGATCGATATCATTAGCGATCTCAGTGGATCGACTTTACTATCGGTTGCACGGTCGACCTTACTTGGCGAAATTGTTGGGCCGATTTTGGTAGGCGGCTGGATTCCTTGGTGCCGTCGCCACGGTTGGACGCAGTTCGGAAAATTGTTGTGTTGGGACCTTTGGAGGGGTCCGAGAACCAGTTTTGAGCTGCGGGCGTTTTAGTTCGCCGATGCTGCGATTTGCGAAGGCAGGGGGCATCTTATCGAGGGCGCTTCGGCGAGTCACCACCGTCACCCTGGAAACGCCTGCGCGTGTGGCCGAACGTTGGGCCAACATCTTGCCACGCTACTGGGAAAGCCGTTGTAGTGGGAACCGGGCGGAGACTTTCTAGGAGAGCGGTATGAGGAAAACGACGAGGATCACGACGGCGAGAAGGAGGAGGGGGATGTTTCTTGTGCGCTCCTTGGGTCGCTTCTTGGGTTGCCTCTTGGGGGGCCACCTGTGGGGGGCCTCTTCGGGGGCACCCACCTGCGGAAGGAACGGGTTTGTCTTTGGGGGGCGCGGGGGGCCCAGCCTTCTGGGAGGCCATGCCGCGGCTCAGAGGCGGTGCGCGGGGGCCTTCTTGGATGTCTGGTGGGCCCACAAGTCCGAGACATCAAACGTTTGCCTCCTCTGCCTCTCCCCCTCTTTCTCCCCCTCCTCCTTCTCCTCCTCTCCTTCTCCTCCTCCTCCTCCTCCTCTTCCTCCTTTGATCAGGGTGAGGGGGCCGAACGGACGTGTGTTAATTAGCCCAATTTGTGTTTACCCTAATTTGGCCTGTGTCGGCCATCGTCACACCGCTTGCGTCGTGTTCAAGGGTCTCGATGGACCAGCACACGCTGGCGCTGGCACGCGTTCTGGAGGCCCCGCAAAACGAGACATCAAACGTTTTGATCAGAGAGAGGGGGCCGAACTGTCTTACACTGTCCTGAGGTCCGCGGTCGCGATTCTTGCTGCCGAGTTTTCAGTTTTGAACCATAACTATTGTTGGTCCTCCCCTTCGGTACCCATTCTATGTTTTTCAACCGAAGTGCTCCCGCCGGGGCTCGCACCTGGTTTTTGCAATGGGAAGTCGCGAGCGTCAGAATGCATTGTTGGGCCCCGACTTACAGCAACAACGGCTCCCGCTTCACACTTACGCGCACTTGATTTCAAACTCGCGCTCTCGCGCGGGACCTCCTCATACTTTATCCGGGAGTTGCGCTCTCGCGTGGTACTTCCTCGCAGTTTGCTGCGGCGTCGTGCCCACGACACTAAGGAATCATGCTCTCGCTCAGGATTTCCTGACGGCTTACCGGGGAATCCTGCTATCGCTCGAAATTTCCTTGCGAGTCATGTTGGATTGACGCTTGTCTGATCCTGCAGTATTCAACTGAGGAGGAGGAGGAGGAGGAGGAGGCGGAGGAGGAGGAGGCGGAGGTTGAGGTTGAGGGCGCTCCGAGGACGCGCGCGTCGAGGCGCGCGCGACTCGGTTGCGGCTCCGAGGCCGCGGGGCCGCGGCCGAGGCGGCGGAGGGCCAGCGGCCTCAGAGCAGCACAGCAGCCCGCTCCGCCTCGTGCCCGCTGGCCACGTCGTCTGCCCGCGGCCGCTTGGCCCGAGGAGTGCTCTCGACTCGGGCCTTGGTCTCGTCCAGGTCGGAGCTGGAGCGCTTGCCGCGGGCCGCCTCGAGCAGCCAGCGGACCTTCTCGTCGAATGCCTTCAGCTTCTTGACTGGGGCCCCTGCCAAGGGAGGGCCAGCACGAGAAACACCTTCGCCACGGAGACGAACTTCAGCACGATCCTCAGCAGGACAGGGAGAGTGGGAGCCCGCTGCAGGCTCCCCACTCGTGGCGGTCTCCGCCGCATCAACCTCGTGTCTGCCGCAATTTATGGAGGAGGAGGCGGAGGCGGAGGAGGAGGAGGAGGAGGAGGAGGAGGAGGAGGAGGAGGAGGAGGAGGAGGAGGAGGAGGAGGAGGAGGAGGAGGAGGAGGAGGTGGAGGGGGAGGAGGAGGGAGA